CCTGTTTTCTCCTGACAAGTCCCTGGGCTGGGCAAAAGGCAAATTAACTTCTGTCAAAGGGTGGAACATTCAGATTTATAAAGCCGCAAATACCACGCTACAGGGGACTAGCTCAGTACTTGAAGGGAACTAAGAGTTTTGGTGGGAAAGATCTGCCTCACAGTGAAGAAAAAGCAGGGGTCCATCATAGGATCAAATGAAAAATGTAAACAACTATTTTACTTATATTTACTTTCTGCATTTATAATGACATTGTTTTCCCCCTTTCCTCTGAGCTCCTTTGATGAACATCGGGATAGATTTTTAAAAGTCTTTAATCCTTTTGTTGCTGTATAGTTATTATGTTATACACTTGGTTATGTTATCATTTCATATCTGATGTAAGCATTTATTCTGTTTATTCAGTAAAACTCATCAAACATCATGTTTTGTAAGGACATTGTTAAAGACTGCAAACCAAGAAAGGATTTGAAGGCAGCAGGTATCCATGCAAAATGTAGATGAAAAAAGATAACAGATTTCTCCCAGTGAGGTTTAACTTATTACTGGCTCTGTAATTTCAAAGAAAATTCCAAAGAATTGTGAGAAGGGGGAACCCATTGTCATCACAACTACAGAATGTTAATTTTGTTAAAACAGTTGCTGACATCCTTTTAGGTTAATATAAGCACGAAAGGTGAGGTGATCTAGATGAAAAAGTTTCACTTCAGAGCACCACCAGAAGGAAGCTTGTTTGCTGTAATAATGGGAACAAAAGTTATACAATACTAGCACATTACTTTCCTTAGTTTCATAACTGAAAAATGGGGCCAGCAGCATTAGAACAAACCAGGGTCATGTGACATTTGCTGCTGATTAAAGAATTCAATAAAAAACCCTCAGAGTTGATTCACTTATACAGTGGTTGCCAAGAGGCTTGAAGTCAATCAATACTCATACAGAAGCATTATTTGCAAGAACTAGTACCCTCACATGAGGATTATGGATGCAAAGTAACACTTTTGTCAAGGGAGTTTACATATTCATTTCTGTGATAAATGAGTTCTGCCGAGTAGGATGCTTTAGTAACCTCAAACTCTAGCCCTGCTGAGCAGACTCATGACAGACATGTGTGTGTTAATTCTCTTGGCAAAGATAAAGATATCAAATACATTGGAAGCCAATCTTTGCAGTAGGGTTTCCAGGCAGGGCCTGGAAGTAGGCACTTGCAGTTGGAAGCAGAGAGAGATCTACATCCTTGGCACAATGTCGCCACTTCTGGTGAGACCTGGAAGTAACGTCATCACGTCACAGCATCAGGTAGTGGTTGAGAATGGCAGACTCTAATCTGGAGAACTGGGCTTGACTCCCCACTCCTCCCATGAAGCTTGCCAGGTGACCTTGAGCCAGTCACAATTCTCTCAGAACTCTCTCAGCCTCACCTACCTCACAAGGCCACTATTGTGGGGAGAGAAAGGGAAGGTGATTGTAAGCCACTTTGAGACTCCTTAGGGCAGAGAAAGGCAGCGTATAAAACCCAACTCTTCTTCTTCTGACCACAGAGTTTTGGGCAAATGCTAGAGCATCACCTGACATGATGGTGTCACTTTCAGGTTGAGCCAGAAGCAACATCATCACACTGAGGATGTTGATTCCCTTCCCCACCATTTCTCCCTGGAATTTCCTCCTGCTGCCTGGCTGAGCAATGGCAGGCAATAGCAGCAGGGGTAGGAGGTTTTGTGATATTATAGGCTACAGCCTCTGTAATCACTGTATGGGAGAAACTGTCAGTATAAACATGTTCACATTTTCAAGATTTCAATGTAAATATGTTCACCTTTGCAAGATTGGAGACAAGGTGGTGGACACTAGACAGTTCTTCCTCCTAACCTGCCTTCAGTGTTCCACCTACTTCAACTCTTCCAGAAGACTCAGGAGCCTTGTTTCCTTCCCAGATATCATCACTTCCAAAACTTAAACTACCAATTTCAGAACAACAGAGCAGCTGCTTAATAATTTCAAGGAGACCAAATAAGGGCTATTCATTTCCCTTTTATCTTGCCCTCTCTGTTCCCATTAATTCAGCTGCCTGTAAACCAAGCCTCCCTAGTTTCCTAGCAACAGCATGTTATGGATTGTGAGGTTTCATCTCTCTAATGAATTGTAGCTGTATCAGAAGCAGACATACTTTCCCTCTTGTCCTCTGGAATGGATCCGTTATTAAGAACTATATGACGATAAAGGTTTGGAATGACAGAAAAACTCAACAGAAGGCAGAGTGGGAAAATGTGCTTCAAGTGTAGGCTTCAATGGCAGCACACTCCTAAATAGAGTGATGCCCTTCTAAGTCCACTGAAGTCAATGTGCTTAGAATGGTGTAACTCTGCTCAGGTCAGGACTGTTAGTTTAAGACTGAGGAAGTCCTAGGGGAAAACCTTCAAAGAAGCTGAAGGGAGGGACAAGGGAACAATTGCTTGGAGATGAGAGGAGTGACAGCTAAAGCACTTTCTGAACTACTTGCCAAGAGAATTAGTGGCAGAGGCAATGAGTTTGTCAAGGAAGAAAAAAGGAGATTGGAAAGGACAGACCTAGTAAGAAGTCTCACCTGGAAGACTAGATACGCTCTGAGAGATATGCCCTGAAATCTCTTAGCCCTCACAGCACTGTTTTGTGGATAAAACAGAGGAGGGGAGAACCATGTATGCCATCCTGAGTTCCTTGGAGGACAGGCAGGATGAAATGGGAACACATAGCTAACAGTGATATACCACTCCCAAATGGGGATATCATGTTGCATAATGACTGAGCAGAAAAAAAATCAGAAAAATATAATAGTGTTGGCTGGCAGGCTGTTTTGTCTTCTGCTAATGTAGTTTCAGCCTGGTGTGATGTGGGGCAAGTAAATATTCCTTAAGGACTGATCATTTTCTGCCTCTTATTTCTGAATGTTTTGAGGGACACATGACAAATTTATACATGTACACCCAGGGCTGGCTCGAGGTGTTTCTGCGCCCTAGGCGAGGCTGCCTTGTGGTGCAGATGCCAACCTCCCGGTGGGGCCTAGAGACCTCTGGAGCCAGCCACCCTTTTGCTATCGCTGCCACCGCCTCCCCCCCACAGCTGTCAGACCCAGCAAGCACGCCCCACATGTTCCTGCAGCACCCTCCAAGATGGAAGAGAGATTTCTCTCGTGCTCCACTTCCGAAGGCAGTTTGGGAGGAAGGTGGGGGGGGATCCTGTCTCCAGGCGGGGGATGCTCACCGGATGCCTCTCCCCAATTAGCGCAAAGGGATATTAGATATCCCACCAATAGAACAACTGTATCCAGGGCTATTTTTTGAGCAAGAATGCACAGGAATGGAGTTCTGGCTGGCTCCTGAGTTGGCCACGCCTAACAGGAACTCATTAGCATAATAGGCCACAGCCAACAGCAGAAACTCATTAGGATTGGCTACATTAGGGGTGTGTGGCCTAACATGCAAAGAAGTTCCTGCTACAAAAAAAGCTCTGGGTTTTGACAACAAACAAGGTAAACAGAATAAGAAGCAAAAGGTTGGTGTGGCTGGATGACCACAATTCTGGTAACATGTGGGTGCGGCCTAATAGGCTAATGAGTGGTGCTGTCAGGGTGTGGCCTAATATGCTAATGAGTTTCTGCTATTATGCTAATGAGTTCCTGCTGGGCTTTTTCTACAAACAAAGCCCTGAATTGATAGGTATGCTTATTTTGTACTCAAAATCTGTATCCAAGTTCAAAATATCAACAGCAATCAGTTGTAGGACCTCAGGGCCACTTCTGATGTTGTATTTATGAAACACATATGTAGTTTACACATGCCAGCCTGTGGGAAGAGTTAAAATATATGGTGACAGTAATGATTCCTTGTTTTTAGTGAGAGTGTGTCTTTAAATGTTTGGTTGGAGTGCAGTGATAGCAGAGTAGAATGATTGAGAGAAACTAGTGTGATGTGATTGGTGGACGGCAGAGTGTGGGAGGGGGTTGCTTGGGATGAGTGTGTGTGTGTCTGGAAGCAGTTTGGTTGGAGTTTTTAATTTTGAATGAGAGTCTGTCAGTTAAGGAGTCTATCAGAAAAAGAGGACAGAGTGCTGTGTGAAAACTTGAAGTGCAGAAAATATGTTGTTGAAAGTTTAAATGTGGAAGAGTTACAAGAAGGACCTGAGACATCCTAAAGTTTAAAAGAAAACTAAGCACAAAATAAAGAGCTTAGCCAGAGTGAGGGTCCATTGAAAAGGAGATTCTTAATAGAGAAGGATCTTGTGACCAAAGATTGTGTGTGATACCCTGACAGCTAGATTTTCCAGTTTCTCTTCCCTTAAACAGTTATAGTTAACAAACAACTTATTTATGTTTAAAATTTTATTCAATCAATCACATTTTGTTTGAGTTCCAGAATTCAGTTCAAATCTTTCCTCAAAACCACAGAGACCCTTGAAAAGCCCAGACTCGAGGTCACTTTACCAACAGCTAATGAGAAAAGATTTGGAATTTGTTTAAATTCCTGGTGGTAGCTGAATCTACCCTATTTATGAACACAAAGTATAAATTTAAAGAGAAAACCAGTCCTCCCTAGTAAGAGGACGCCACAGTGACTTTCTAAGATACCATAAGGGATAAAAAGAAGTTAGGGAGACTTAGTACTGGAGCAGGCAGAAAGTGCTTTGTATTTAGAAGGTTCCAGTTTCAGTCCTTACATCTCAAATTAAAAAGCATCTCATCTAGTAGAGCTGAGCTTAAGACCTTGTCAATCACTGTATAGTAATGGGTTAGAAGGACCAATGATCGGACAATATAACTCAGCTTCATCATGAGTACAGATGTCAAGACAGAAATTGTTTCATACAGCAGATGTAATGCAAATGGTCAAGAAACACAAAACAATAAACATGCTCCTTAGAAGAAGCTCAATAACTGCTTGATGGGGAATATCTCTTCAAAGTTAACATAGAATGAATTGTACACCCACCCTACACCATACCCTAAAAAAAATTCCCTCCATTACCATTAGGACACCAAAAGACCACCAGTCGGCACTTTGTGTATGCCCTCGCCGGTTGACCACCTCTGGGGCCATGTACTCTATTGTCCCACAGAACGAATAAGCCCTCTTGTCATGATCAATGGCTTCCTTGCTGAGGCCAAAGTCTAAATAAATTAGATGAAGAAAAATGAAGCATGTAATATAACGATCATTAGCATCACCATGATTTCCATACAGTACCTTGTAGTCGGAGCAGTCAGAAAAACAACAGTGCAGTCCTATGCAGTTACTGCAATTGATTGATTGCAAGGGTCTTTGACTAGAGTAACTCTGCATAGAATTGCAAGGGTTGCCAGGTCCAGGTTGGGAAATACCTGGAGATTTTGGGGGTGGAGCATTGGGGAGGGGAGGGACTTCAATTGGGTACAATGCCGTTGAGCCTACCCTCCAAAGCAGCCATTTTCACCAGGGGAGCTGATCTCTGTAGTCTGCAGATCAGTTGTAATAGCAGGAGATCTCTTGGAGGTTGGCAACCCTACATATACAACAACCACTTTCTGGCTAGGAGACAAAGGCCTCATCCCAGCTCTACGGTGTTGCTTGTTTCCACATATAATTCATAAGTAGTTTTTTTCAGGGCTCTACTGGTAGCAGGAGCTCCTTTGCATATTAGGTCACACACCCCTAGTGTAGCCAATCCTCCAAGAGCTTACAGAGCTCTTCTTACTGGGGCTACTGTAAGCTCTTGGAGGATTCGCTACACTAGGGGTGTGTGGCCTAATATGCAAAGGAGCTCCTGCTACCAGTAGAGCCCTGGAGAATAACAATGTTCAAAGTGATGTAGAAAGAGAACAGAATTAAAAAGCAGAAATCATAAATAAAATCTGTGAGGCTAAAATTCAATTACTTCCCCCCTTTTAAAAAAACATTAAGCACTAGAAAAAACTTAGGTGTGGGAATAATGCATAGCTCTGGATTATATATTCTTATCTGCAAGAGGAAAAACAACCATTTTTTATTTCAAACATTTATATGCCACCTCCTCAGAGGCATCCTGAAGGCAGCTCATAAGATAAAATCATAAAAATGTTAAACCATTAAAATTATCAAGTTATTAAAAACCCATCCAATAAAAACCCAGCGCATAAAAGGAGAGCAGCTTGCGAACAGCCCTGAGCATAAAAGAAACACACATCCAGAGCATAAACTCATAACACAAAATATTTGGCAGGCTACAAGATCCTCATAAAGCCCTTAGGCTAGAAGCAGATTGTAACAATAACAAGTAAAAACAAAAACAAGTAAAAACTCCCACTTAAGAGTCTAGGTAAAAAGAAATGCTGAGCCTGGTGCCTAAAAGAGAGTAAGGGGGGGAGTGTACCTTAAGGGGGGAGGGAATTCCACAGGTGAGTTGCCACCCCTGAAAAAGCTCTGTCTCTAGTTGCCACCTTCCTCACTTCTGCAGGCATGAGTACAGAGAGCTGGACTTGAGGAAGAGGCCTTGCTTCAGTGGTACTACAGCATTTCATGCAGAAGTTCCCAGGTCCAATCCCTGGCATCATCAGTTAAAAAAAATAATGTAGTCTGTGATATGAAAGGCCTCTGCTTGAGACTTTGGGGAGCTTCTGTCAGTCAGAGTAGGCAATACTCTGATAAACCAATGGTATGACTCGGTATACTGACTCAGAATAAGGCAGCAACATGTGTTCATGGCTTATTAAGAGATTTTAAATTCAGGTGGACCTGGAGGAGCACTGCAACAATGCTCAGATTTGAAATTTGGTGTGCTTTCAACAGGAAGGGAATTCTGTAACCCAGAGGCAACAAGCAAGAATGCCTGTATTCGTGACCCTGCTATCTAAACCTGATCTGCAGATGATACCATTAGGGTGGCATCCTTGGGGTATTTTGGATACAGGGGAAGAAGCAAGGCTCTTCCTTATGTGTAGTTTAAGCCATTTAGGGATTTGTATCCAGAACCTTGAATTGTGCACAAAAGAGAACAGATAGCTAGTGCAGGCAGTACTTTTAGGGTCCTATCTGTGTCAGAGAAGTATGCAATGGGTAGAATGTAACAATGGAAAACGTCTGTATGCTACATACCTGTAATCTTAATATGTCCCTCTTCATCCAGAAGAATGCTAGAGACATTACAGTGAAAAGTTTAGGGCAAATGTCAAATGTAGTGACCAAGCAAAAACAGAACTATATTTATTTATTCAAATGAAACAAATAAAACAGCAAATAAATATTCATAAATTCATAAATATTCAGTAACAAGTTAAAGACGTTTAATTTAAATACACAGTCGAAAACAAATAAATGCAGTTAAAAATGCACCCTAATCAATTTACCCTCTGGCAAATGCCCTCTGGAACAAAACAGTCTTACAGGCCTTCCTTAAAGTGGCAAGTTAAGGCCCAGGCACATCCACTCTAGGAGGCCATTCCCGAGGAATGGACCTACCTCAGAGAAAGCCCCTGAGCTAGCTGTTGCTAAACAGACACTCTTAGGTGAGGGTACCAATAAAACAGCACTTTCTGAGCAGCATAAATGGTGCATGGGAGTATAGGAGGTAGGGTTGCCAAGTCAATTTTTCTTACCGGCGGGGGAGCCTCGCCGGGCTCCGGGAGCCGTCCTTCGATGCGAGCGAGCGCGACGTCGATCATGGTGAAGGCGTGGCCCCGATCGTCGGAGGGAAAACCATAGAGTTTTCCCTCCGATGATCAGAGCCACGCCCCCAACGTGATTGACGTGGTTGCGTCACCTTTGGTGACGCAGCCACGCTGTGCTTTGGGGGGTGGAGTTCCCCCCGGGGCCCGATTCCGCAGCAGCGCAAATCAGGCCTCCGAAGCAGGGGTTTACCCACCCCTTGCCCCCACTTGGCAGCCCTAATAGGAGGAGTTGAAGAAGTATGAGGACCCCAGGCCGTTAAGGTCTTTAAAGATATCACTTTGAATTGGGCCTGGAAGCTTGTAGGCAACCAGTATATTGGACACAGCACCGGAGTTCTATGTTCCAAGTGACTGACTCCAGACATGAGTCTTGCTGCCACATTATGTAATACATATTACATTGTTCTTCAACTTTTGTAATTGCATTTTCTGCATTCTTTATGGTATGTCATGTGTTATTATTGTTGCTATATGGGGACTTCCAGGGAAAACTTGGAAGTGATGTCACACCTCTCTAGATCACTGGAAACTCTGTGGTAATGCCAATGACCCAAGGGTTGTTTTTAAAA